GGTCTGGTTTGAACCTTTATCTTCAGATCTCAGTATCCTGGCCAGTGACAATTACAAGCATGAGTGACCAAATGCCTGGCCTAAGTATGATTTTTAAGAACCAAGTACGTGAAGGACTGTGCTCACTGTAATCAGAAAGGAGGAAGACCTAGCCTCTGCCTACAAATTCACAGAATTTCTTGTTTGGGCTAACTTTGAACATAGCCTCCTGAGTAGCTAGGATAAGATTTGAGCCACCATAACCTAACTTAATATGTGACTTTCAACTTCATAATCGCATGATAGTTTTTGAAAGAGAATGAGTTCATTTTGGTGGTTTGCAAATGCCAAATTACTACAAAATGAAAAAAAAAACATAATTTATTGTTATTATTAAGGTATTGTAAGGTGCTCACAATTCAGGAAATGTATACATTTCTCTGTTTCCCCCTAAAACCCAATGAAAAGATATTTTAAAAATAAATTTCTGAGCAAGGCAGCAGTGGCTAAGGCCTGTGATACTAACTAGCAAGAAGGCTGAGATCAGATAATCTAGGTTTAAAGCCAGACCCAGGAGAAAACTCAGGGAGACAATTATATCCAATTAATTATTTTAAAAAAACAGGAATTGGGCTGGGAAGGTGGCTCAGTGGTAGAGCGCTTGCCTTGCATGCCTGAGGCCCTGGGTTCGATTCCTCAGCACCACATAAGCAAAAAGAAAAAAGCCGGAAGTGGTGCTGTGGCTCAAGTGGTAGAGCGCTAGCCTTGAGCTGAAGAGCTGAGGGACAGCGCCCAGGCCCAGAGTTCAGGCCCCACGACCGGACCCAAAAAAAAAAAAAAAAAAAAAAAAAAAAAAAAAAAAAAAAAAATAAAAAAACAGGAATTGTAGCTCTGTCTCAAGTATTAGAACACAAAAGTCCAGGTAATGACCCAGAACATGAGTTCAAGTCTCAAGTCTGGTTGTATAAATAAATAAATAAATAAATAAATATCACAGGCCAATTACCTATAACCCTAGCTACTTAGGAGGCTAAGACCTGGGCGTGGATTTTCAAAACCATCCTGGGCCAGAACATTTGTTAATAATCTTTATTTCCAATTATCCATGAAAACCTGGAATGGGAGTGGTTGATCAAGTAGTAAGTGCTTACCATTGTACCCTCAGTTCCAGTCGTAGGATTGGCACCAAAATAAATAAGTAAATTTATTTATTTTTGAGTTTTGAATCTTAGTCAGCATGGTAGATTTTTTGAAAGTCTTTCAGATAATAATGATGTGCATATATGTTTATTAACTCAAAATTGAATTCATGCTGATATTTTCCTCAGTCATTTGAGTAATAAATAAGCATTATCAAGTTCTTATTTGTTGAAATAGTTGTCATACAATCCCACTTTTCCATCATCAGTTCAAAAAGCCCAACAAACCTCTTTGTCTGGGTGCCAGCACCTAGAATGGAGTTTCTGGGCTGGGAAGGTGGCTCAGTGCAAGCGTGTTTGCCTTGCATGCATGAGCCCCTGGGTTCGATTCCTCAGCACCACATAAGCAGAGAAAGCTGGAAGTGGCACTATGGCTCAAGTGGTAGAGCACTAGCCTTGAGCTGAAGAGCTGAGGGACAGCGACCCATGACCATAAATAGAGTTTCCCATACAAACTTCCTATACTGAACCAAGAAAATACCAACAAACTAAACAAAGGAATAACATAAAAGTAATCAGAAGTCTTCCAACAAGAAAGAGTCCAAGACCAGATGGATTCATTACTCAATTCTATAAGACATTTTATTTTGTCCAGTCTTAGGGCTTGAACTCAGGGTCTGAACCTGTCTCAAAGCTGTTTTTGCTCGAGGCTAGTTTTAGTACTAGTGCTATATCACTTGAGCAACCATGCCATTTCTGGCTTTTCTGTGTATGTGGCATTGAGGAATGGAACACATGGCTTCATGTGTACTAGGCAAGCATTCTACCACTAACCTATCTTCCAAGCCCACTATAAGGCTTTTAAAGATGAAGTAATACTAACCTCCTCAAGCTTTTCTGTGAAATAGACGCAATAGGGAGCAAACCCAAACTCATTCTATGAATCCAATATTACACTCATCCCAAAACTAGGTAAGGATCCAACAAAACAAGCGAATGAATGATCAATTTCTCTGATGAACATAAATGCAAAACTCCTCAATAAAATATTAGCCAACAGAACCCAGAAACAAATACAAGTCATAAAAATATGATCAAGTAGGCTTCATCCCACAGATGTAAGGTTGATTTAATATATACAAATCAATAATTCACATCAGTAGAGCCAATATCAAGAACCACATACTCATCTCAGTCGATGCAGAACAAACCTTTGACAAAAGACCACGCATTGACATTAAAAGCTCTGAAGAAACAAGGAATAGAAGGAATATTCCTTAAAACATTAAGAGCCATAGACAACAGGCCATACTAAATGGGGAAAACTAAAACTATTTTCCTTAAAATCAGGAACAAGGCAAAGCTGCCCCTTCACTCCCCTCCTCTTCAATCTATACTGGAATTCTTAGCCAGACCAATAAGGAAAGAAAAGGACATTAAAGGAGCCACACAGAGTACGCAAAATTTAAACTAACGGTATTTGCTGATGACCATTTCTTATACTTGAGGACCCAAAAGCTCAACTCCCAAACTCCTACAGCTAATTAATATATTTGGCAAAGTATCAGAATGCAAAATCAATCCATAAAATTCAGTAGCCTTGGCCAGGCACCAGTGGCTCATGCCTGTAATTCTAGCTACTCAGGAGGCTGAGATCTGAGGATGGTTGTTCAAAGCCAATCCAGGCAGGGAAGTCCATGAGTCTCCAATTAACCACCAGAAAACTGAAAGTGGAGCTTTTGCTCGCCTTGAGGTGAAGAGATGAGGGACAGCGCCCAGCTCAAAGTTCAAGCACCACGACCCAAAACAACAACAAATGGTTACTGAACCATTCCTTGGGCAAAGAATATCCAAGCAGAAAGGGAAATAATGAAAATGACACCATTTGCAAAAGCTTCAAAAAATAGTAATTAACGTAACCAAAGATGTAAAAATTGCAAAAATCTAAAGAAAGAAATCAAAGAGTATATCAGAATATGCAAAGACCTTCCATGTTCATGGATAGGTAGAATATTGTGAAAATGGCCATAATGCAAAAAATTGACATAAAATTCCAAGCAATCCCCATCAAAATCCCAATAATGTACTTTACTCAGATAAATGAAAGAATCCAAAAGTTCATATGGGGAAAAAAAAAAAACAGACCAGGAACAGACAAAGCAATTCTTGGCAAAATAAGCCATTCAGGCAGTACCACTATACGAGACTTCAAGTTCTACTAAAGAGCCACAATAACAAAAACAGCTTGTTATCGGTATAAAAATTGTTTCTAACATATTTATAAGATGATTTCTATGTTGCTTTGTATGTCCTTCCCCAATGATATAACTCCTGCTTTCACTGTATTTGATGGTGGTATAATTTGTGGAGGGGAAGGGCAAAAACAAATCATTTAACTAGAGATACAGGCATAACCATTGCAACAATGAGATGTACAAGTAGTTATGTCGAAAAACAAACATTACAACTTTGGTGGGGTGGGGGGTAGTAGCGAGTGGGGGGGAGAATGGGAAGGAATGGGAAAGGGGATACAAAGAACAGGCAACAATGCTTGTTAATAAATGTATTCATTATCTTGTCCATGTAATTGTAACTCCTCTTTACTGTATTTTCAGAATAAAAAAAGAAAAATACAAAAAAATAAAAAAGATCCGAAGACCAATGGAAAAGATTATATTAAGTGAAGTAAGTCAGGCCTAAAGAAACATAGGTCTCATGGTTTCCCTCATTTCTAATAACTAGTATACATCAAGCAGAGATCTGAGGGACAAGCAGAAAAGTTCAAAAGCTATGTACATATGACCCAATAAGATGATGTTAAGAGAAATGAACCTCAAGATAGGGACCGAAGTGTTTTTTTTTTTTCTTTCTATTGCTTCTAACGTATTCACGATATACCATGTGATTTTTTTTTGTTTCTTTGTATGTTCCTCCCCCCATCGTAAAACCCCTGTTTTCACTCTATTTGATGTTGGTGCCTTGCAACTTTTATATACACTTTTCTAATTTGGGGAGGGGAAGGGAAAAACAAAATGCTTAAATAGAGATATAGGTTGACCCATTGTAATAATGAGATGCACAATACACTATGTGGAAAAATGACCTTTACAATTTAGGCCGGGGGTGGGGTGAGAGTGTAGTTTTGGTGATGGGAGGAAAGGGATGGTAGGGAAAAACAAAGGATGATAAGAAATATACTCATTACCTAGCTTATGTAACTGCTGTGATCTGAGGATAATTGTTCAAAGCCAGCAGGGACAGGGAAGTCCATGAGACTCTTATCTCTAATTAACCACAAGAAAATGGAAACCGGAACTGTGGCTCAAGCACTAGCCTTCAGCTGATAGCTGAGGGACAGCGCCGAGACCCAGAGTTCAAGCCTCACGACCGACCACACACACACACACACACACACACACACACACACGCACGCACACACACACACACACATACACAAATCACAGCTTCTTCAAATATTCCTGTTGGGGCAACTTGGCAGCCATATGCAGAAAACTAGAAGTGGATCTGTGCTTTCACTAACATCAACTAAAAATGGATTAACTACCTTAAAATCAGCCAAATTACTGTAAGACATAATAGGGATGATATTAGAACTTATATGTACAGGCAGGAACTTCCTGAATAGAGTTCCTGGGGCAGAACAGATAGGAGATAGATCCAACAAATGGGACTACATTAAAGGAAAAAAAAATTCTGCACAGGCTAGGACATAGCCACTAAACTAAAAAGACAGCCACGGAATTGGCAAAAGATATTTACCTGCAACACATCAGACATAGGGCTAATATTCAATGTATAAATGGATCTCTGGAAAGTACCCCTCCAAAACCTCATAAACCAATTACTAAATGGGCAGGGGAGCCAAGAAGAGACTTCTCAGAAGAAAAAGTAAAGAATGGGAAAGAAACATATTAGGAAAGGTTCCTCATCCCTCGCCATAAAGAAAATGTAAATCAGAGCAATCCTGAGATACAATCTTACCCAAATATTCTGAATTCTGACAACAAATGCTGATGGGGAAGTGGAGAAAAGAGGAATCCTACTGCACAGCTGGTGGGAATGTATACTAATACAGCAACTCTGGAAAGCAGTCTGAATGTTGCTCAAAAATCACAACACAGACCTTCCCTAATACCCTCCCTACAGCCATACCACTTGTAGGCATCTACCCTGAGCATCATGAACCAGAATATGGCAAGGACACTTGCACAACCATGTTCCTTGCTGCTCAATTCACAGTGACAAGATATGTACACACCCAGATGCCCCACAATAAATGAATGTATCCAATAATTATGCTATCTATATACAATGAAATTTTACAGACAGAGACATTAGAAAGAATAAAATAATGTCATTTGCAGGGAAATGGAAGGAACTAGAATAAATCATGTTAATAAAGTTAAGCCAAGATCAAAGAGACAAATGGCACATTTTCTTCCTGATTATGTGGAAGTTAGATTTAAAACACAATGGGATATGAAAACTGTACAGGATTCTAGGCATCATGTACAGTGAGTACAGTAGGGGAAAGCTTTTGTAGAAAATCACCAAGTTATAATACACAAGCACCTCTTCTTATGTATATAAAACAGTATATATATATATGCATATATATATATATATATACTAATTGAATTGTAAAGATAAAGAAACAAGGAACTTTTCTTAATTTCTCTTTTCATTTTCTGATGACTCTGTATCCTTTACCCAATATACACTATATATGCATGCATATCTGATGGAAGATGGGAGAAGGGCACAGAATCAGTGGAAAGTGGATGAAAAATTGCAGCCGCGGAGCCCACTGGCTCTACTGGACATTGATGAAAGTGAACCATGCAACTTGTGGATCGACATGGGAGGGAGGGAATGGAACAGAATGGGGGAACAGATTAGACTATGTAAAAGGAAGGAAATATACTAGCTACCTGACATGCAGAAAGATAACCTTGCTGTATATCACCGCTAAAACAACAATATTTTTTCAAAAAGAAGAGAGCTCCCAAATGAGAACATACGAGAAAAGGGAAATAAAGAGCAGATAACCATGTTTTTGTAAGTCCTTGGTACCTGATAGTTTCAATCATTAGCTTTTTTCCTACCAACTGAGTCATACCTCTAAACCCAAAATCCTTACAATATTCAATTTTTTCCCTTGATTACTTCACATTTTCTATTTACTTTTTGTTTTGTGTGTGTGTGTGTGTGTGTGTGTGTGTGTGTGTGTGCCAGAAATGGAGCTTGAACTCGGGATCTAAGTGCTGTTCCTGAGCTTTATTTTTGCTCGAGTGCACTCTACCACTTGAGCCAAATCTTCACTTCTGGATTTTCTTGTGCAGTTTATTGGAGATAAAAGAATCACAGAGACGTTTTACCATCATTAGATTCAAATCATTATCTTCAGATCTCATCCTCTGGGTTACAGCCATGAGCCAAATTACCTGGCTTATGAATTGTCGTTCTTTTTTTAACAAGCTGGTGCCAGTGGCTCATGCCTGTAATCTTAGCAACTCAGGTGGCTGAGATCTGATAATCGAGGTTTAAAGACAACCTGTGTAAGATAGTCTGTGAGACTATGATCTCATTAACTGGTTACCAAGAAACCAGAAGGAGCACTGAGATTCAAACTGGTAGAGTGATAGCCTTGAGCACAAAAGAGCAGGGACTGCAACCAGGCCCTGAGTTCAAGCACCACATAAAAAAAAATAAGTAAAAACGAATTTGCAATCACTTGTGATCTCAACATCCTCAATTCATGGTTTATTTAAAGCCAATTTGCATCTCAGTTTGCACTTATTCGGAGTGTAACTAAACTTGTATAACTATTAAAAGAAAAAAATGAGCAGCTGTGTGCAGGTGGCTCACGCCTGTAATCCTACCTTCTCAGGAGGCTGAGAAATGAGGATGGTGGTTCAAAGCCAGCCTGGGCAGAAAAGTTCCCATGAGACTCCTATTACCAATTAATCCCTAAAAAACAAGAAATGGCACAGTGTTTTAAACTGGTATGCTATACTCCTAACCTTGAGCAAAGGAGCTCTGGGACAGCACCCATGCCCTGTATTCAAGCCCCATATCTGAAGGAAAAAAAAAAGAGTTCAGTGCTGGGAAGGTGGCTCAGTGGTAGAGTTCTTGACTTGCATGTACGAGCCTCTGGGTTTAATTCCTCAGTACCACATGAGCAGAAAAAGCCAGAAGTGGCACTGTGGCTCAAGTGGTAGAGTGCTAGCCCTGAGCTGAAGAGCTGAGGGATAGTGCCCAGGCCAAGAGTTTAGGAACCATGACCCACAAAAGACAAACAAACAACAAAAAGAGTTCAAACATTTAAATGATGTGTACAATAGACTATACACTAAAGATGAAAGATTATACGAATGAATTAATAATTAAAATGATCAACATTGTTTTGATTTTATAAGTAGTGGATGTAGCAGAGAAAGTGATAAGAAATAATTATTCATTCTAACCACTCTTGTATTGTTTTAAACTCATTTACTACTTTTAAACTAAAGGAGCACATAAGTATCGTTTTATAGAAAAACAAAAGTTGTACATGTATTTTAACCTGAATTCCACATTTTAAAATTTGCCTTTTAGTAAACAATCAGTATGTTTTTATATAAACTACTTGTAATCCCTTTAATACTTCAGGTCAGTCTAGTATTTGATTATATCATAACTCCTCCCTTCTTTATTTTCTTCATTCCATTCCTTCACATCCTTTCCTCCTTTCTATCCTAGAAATTAAACTCAGGGCTTCATGCATTTTAGGTAGGTGCTCTACAAGGTGAACCATACACCTGCGCTTTTTGCTTTGGTTACTTCTGTTTTGTTAGTCATGTGGCTTGAACTCTGGGCCAGGACACTGTACCTTCACTCTTCAGCTAAAGGCGAGTGCACTACTGTTTGAGCCACAATTCCACTTCTGGTTTTCTATTGGTATATTGGAGGCAGGAGTCTCACAAACTTTCCTGCCTAGACTGGCTTTGAGCTGTGATCTTCAGACCTCAGCCTCCTGAGTAAATAAAAGTACAGGCATGAACCACCTGTGGCCAGCTCTGCTTTAGCCATTTTTATGGCAGGGTTTTCTGTTTATGAGCAGGCAAGAATGGATCACAATCCTTCTCTTTACCCTTTCTGAGTAGATGAAATTAAAAGCACAATGATTTTGGTTCAGATATTGATTGAGATCCAATAAAGTGAATGTTCGCCTAGGCTAGCCTCAAATCCTAATAATCCTCTCTGCAGCTAGCAATTCAAGTGTGAGCTACCATGCCTGTCCCAAATTTCTGGTGACTAAAACATATGAACAATGTTTCAATATTTTTACATGTTGAATTTGGGGACAATGAGTACTTTTACTTGCCTAGTTTCAAATTTCACCAAAAAACCCAAATATTAACTTTTGGTTTCCTACATAGCATTAAATAAGCAGATAAACTTTAAAAAGTAATTAACTATTTAATGAAAAAAAGCTAAACAATAATCATCCTTACCACTGTAACTTTGGACTTAACAACTTGTCAAACATTGTTTATATCATAGTTGTTTTTTCTGGGCAGTATTTTCGATAAACGGATCATTCCACCCCCAAGGTGGATGGCCAAACAGCCTATATCCACAGGAGTGAAAGCCAAGCCATAGGCCAACACACTAAAGGAAGACATGATCTGGAAGTATTGTAGGTGGCAATGTCCCAACATAAGGGACAGCTTAAATAGAGCTTTTTCTTAGGAAAGATACTCTATTAACCCATACCTCTTCTTCTGGGTTTATCACTGCTTAATTGGAGACAAGTCTCATGGACTTTGTTGCGTGGGCTGGTCTGAAATCATGATCCTCAGATCTCAGGTTCCTAAGCAGCGAGGATAATAGGCATGAGCCACCAATATCTAGATTACTTATTCCATTAATAAAATTAAAATGGCTACAGCATGGTTTAACAGAGAGCTTGAATCCTTTCATGAGTCTTAGAGATCTTCTGACTAGAAGCAGAACAGCAAACTGACATGTGGGAAACTGTGTCTACCATATGAAACCATTTTCCAAAAATGTATCTGGCTCATCAGTTTGGCTTCTGGACTCACAAAATTAACATTCAATTCTCCACTGAAGTAGAGGGTATCCATTGCATGCTCTGCAGCATCATAAATCACTTGCTGGTCATTAAAAACCCCTCTTTTCAATAGGAAATGCTCAAAAAATTCTGTTCATTGAATAATCATGACAACCTTAGGAGATGGGAAATACCAGTATCCAATTGTATATTGTGGTGCTTGAACTCAGGTCCTGTTCCTGATTCACTTTCTAGAACTCTACTTCTTGAACCACAGCTCCATTTCTGTTTTTGTTTTTGTTTAGTTGGTCATGGAGCTTGAACTCAGGGCCTGGGGGCTCTCCCTGATCCACTTTCTAGCACTCCACCACTTGAGCCACAGCTCCATTTCTGTTTTATTTTGTTGTTGTTGTTATTCTTGCTAGTCATGGGGCCTGAACTCTGGGACTGGGTGCTGTGTCTCATCTCTTCAGGTTAAGGCTAGCATTCTACCATTTGAGCCATAGTGTACTTCAGGCTTTTTCTTCTTATGTGATTCTGAGGATTCCAACCGAGGGCCTCATGCATGCAAGGAAAGCACACTTCTACTGAGCCACCTTCTCAGCCCAATTATGGTTTTTGAGGGATTAATTGGAACTAAGACTCTCATATGACCTTTTCTGCCTGGGCTGGCTTTGAAACACAATCCTTCCATCTCAGCCTCCTGAGTAAGAGTGTAGGCATGAGCCACCTGTTCTTGGCTCCATTCACATTTGTATACAAGTGAATAAAGCTCAGTGATATAGTGTCTTCCTCTTTAACCAAAAGCAGGTAAGAAACCAGAATTTTATTTGAAATTCAGTTGAATCTGAGTCTATATTCTTAACAACCAGGCTGTAAGTTATTT